TATTAAACAGCAGAAATTAAGCTTTCTTATCCGACGTCATTTACAAAGGAAAGAAAAGACAGCGGCCGCCAGCGCTGTAAACAACGGTAGACTGATGGGTAATAAGCGAATGAGTAATGCAGAAAACACATGTTTGAGATGGGAAACTTTTCTTGAAGTTTCTCTCACAGTTCACGCACAGCTCGCTGTGCGTGAACTGTGGGTTTTATCGTGTTGGAAGCAAAACAGCAAAAGTAAGAAGGAATTAAGGATGATATTAGCCCCCACGCCGACTAAGCTAATTCTGATGCGTCGGTCCGCTCTGTTTACGTCTTCGTGTGGAATGCGTTTCCTGCTCTCATTTGCTGGTTGTTGTTGAAATAGTTTTGTGAGCTTTAACCTGAGATTCTGGCGTTTCTGGTAAAACACATTTATATTCATTCAATTCAGGATTTAATGAATCGATATCGCTTCATTCAAGCTACTCACCTGTCTATATCCACCTCCACTTCCAGCTGGACCACGGACATTTACTGATTGGTTTAGACCACGAAGGGGAATCACGTGTGTCTGTTGTTGATCACATGGACGTCTGTGGCAAATTTTACAAACACTTCTCATAATGAACGAACTCAGGAGGTTCAACGTTCCAGCGGTGAGCTGCTCTGTGCCACTTCCTTGAATATTAGCTGGGGAAATCAGCCAGATCAGCAGCAGGTGGACACAATCACACAGGTGCGTGGGCCAAGAGCGAGAGCCCGTAAGGATCTCCACCCAGGCAGAGAGGAGGAGGAGAGACAAAGAAAACAAAAACGAACAACAAGAACAACAAAACCTGTAGCCAGCGTGAGCGAACCAGAGAGACACGGGGACCGTGACACATTTTCCCCACCAAGTTGAAGTCACTGATTTTGCTGTTCCAGACTTTTGGACTGAAAGTGAACAGCGGGTCCTGACTCCGCGTCTGTGGTAGAGGTTGACTGTCATGTTGTGTAAAGGTGGCATCCTCCTGCCCTCGTAGGAGTTTTTTGAGCTGTGGATCTAAACAGCTTTTTTTATTATTATTTTTATTTTTGCTTTGCCAGACTTCTACAACCTCAACTGAAAACTGTACGCTCCATGGTAATCCGCTGTTACTGGGAAAATATAAGTCAATGCAGTACTGTGTAAATACAGGGAGTTTATTGAAACACAAAGAACTTCAACAAAGCATAGCATGTTAAACCATGCAATCTGAATGGGGAAAAAAAGCCCCCCCCCCCCAAAAAAAAGTGGCATTTAACATGATGATATTCTATTGCCTTCTGGGTGAGGAGGTGGTGCGCTCTTTCGTTTTTTCGCCTCTTTGGTGCCGCTCTCCTTCTTCTGTTTATTGTCCTCCTGTAGCTGTAACAAAGAGGGACGAAATAACAAAAAAGAGAAACATATTTGTCAAGTAATTTTACCCCCCCAAAGTGGCATTTAACATTTAACATGATGATATTCTACTGCCTTCTGGGGGAGGGAAGGAACAGCGGTTTTTCTTTTGAGTTTATATTCAAGTTTTCTCCTTCTTGCCCCCTCTGGTGTACAATTTCTTCCTTTTTCCTGTTTAAAAAGAGTTCATATATTTTGTCATTTGACTGTAAGCAGTGCAAGGAGGAGATGCTCGCTTTTTGCATGACAGTCTGCCACTTCAGCCTTCCCTTTCTTTATAAGGCTGGAAAATACTTCAGACCCCTCCTCAGGCAGTAAGGGGCCTGAGGTGGGGTCTGAACTGTGGGTACCGGTATGAGGAGAGAAGGGGCACAGGACTGGATGGTGGGTTAAGGTTAGGATTTGGTTGGGGGAGGGAATTGCTAAAAGTCCTCATCTCGTCTTCAAATCCCTTCTTTCCTGTATTAATGAGAATCCTGCGACAGTCTGTTCAGACCCCTCCCTGACTGAGGAGGGGTCTGAACCGGGTCGGGTAGAAGCTGGAGTGGAAAATGGGTTAGGGTAGAAAGGGAAGGGTGACAGACAGTCACACAAAAAGCAAGCATCTCCTCCTTGCACTGAAGTGGCTGCAATCAGCTGGAGGTCCAGGCTCCAGTGGATGAGGGTACAGGTACTCAACAGGTACAGGGGGCAGCCACGGCATGTTGGTCATGAACTGTTGAGATGGAGATGAATGGCTGCTGGGGTAAAAACCAAACAACCCAACTATGGAAGGCTCCTCACATACCCTCGAGGATACTGGGCAAACCCCACTCAATGAGGGCACCTCAAGAGCCGAAAGAAACATCCAAAATTATTGTTTTATATTATATTATATTATATTGTTTTATAAAAAAGCAAGAAAAATCTTTTCATTTCAGACTGTTGAGGCACACTTGGTTGAGTGGAGCTTCAGTGGCACTGTAAACTATCTGAAAACACATTCACTTCAGTAATTATAATCTTTTAAATGGAAGTAGATCAAACAAGCAACAAGAAAAACTACTCTCGTTCAGTGTAACAAAAAGCACTGTAACAGCTTCATATAGCAGAAGCTTCTCCTGACCACTGGAGCCTAGCTGATTCTATAATGAACAGAATAAACAATTATTGAAAGAAGAAGAACTTATTTCTGTCCAAAGGACCTACTGAGCATTGGAACTTAAGAAAGGTGAATCACTCCTCCCACTTTTCAAGGCTTATGGGGATGGCTCATTTACACACTGGTTCCACTGTTCTAACATACACATTGCTGCTCTACTAGTCGAGTGAATGTTGTCCTTCTGTGCCGAATATCACAGTAGGAAGTGCAGGAATCTGTTCATCTAAACCTGTAATAAAGTTGTTAAGATCCAACATTGTGGCTTGTTCTTTACAGATAAGGGCCTTAGAAAGATTGCTGACTGCTCTGCCTTTAGTCCCATTTTCAGCTCCATCACTGGTATTCAGTCCAAAGTTATAAAACCAGATTTTCCACAGGGTGCTTTCTCCAACTGGGCCTCACCGGGTGGCAACATTTCGCTCATGGAAATCTGTCGATCTGTACCCCTCTGCTTTATAGGACGGAGGAGTCTGTGCACATAGGAGTCACCGATGATCACAGATATTTTCTTCACATGAAGATTCCAGTCCTGCAGTTTCCTCTGTGTGTTGGGGTCTCTCGTTGGAGTGCAGACCTGTCGTTCTGGTGAGGATGGTGAGGAAGGAAGACAATAAGAGGAGGAGTCCTCTGTTATTCTTGTTTGGAGGCAGGTCTGCACACAAGGTTTCAATCTGTGTAGGTTTGTGAGTGTAACTCAAAGCTGTATTGTTTCAGTGAGGGGTTGACACGGTTATTCAGCTGTGTCGTTTCCCTGCTCACCTGTGGCTGTTGTTCTGGTTTACTGGGTGTGTCACTGCTGGTGTGGTAGCTGGATTCCAGTCTGCTAGCTCGGCTATAACCACCGCCTGGTTCTGGTCCAACGACTTGGGCTGGAGACGGCGGCCCAGGTTCCGTTTCTCCCAGGATGCTGCCATCTCAAAGGGGCCTCTCTAGAAAACTGAAAACAAATTTTAAACTCATACTCTATGCTTTGGTTATAATAGTCATGAAGGATAAAAATTGATCTCTGAGCTGAGTTTTTAGCATCTCCTCAATTAGAGTCTGTGTCCTTCTATTGAGATAGCTGGTTTAATCAAAGTTACTAAATTTGTGGTTATTTTTATTCAGAGATTGATGATAACGGTCTTCTGAAACATTTTTCTGATGATCAACCGCTTTAATAAGTCTGTAAATTTTGCAAACTTTAATAAAAAAAGTGTGGATCATCCGATTGTACTCTATTCCTCCGAGGTTCAGCTCTTTCATTCAGGGTGGATTTTACATACCGTTTGTCTCTGGCCACTCCTCGTTAAAATCTCCGATCTCCACCAGTCTGTACAAGGTAACAGATCATGTTGTTTTTTCATGTTAGGCTTCTTCTGGGTTAGGCCTTCCTGTTGCTCATGGTGGAAGATGGGTGCCTTTGTTGACCTAGGAGGGATAGCTGGAGACAGGTATTCTGAAATTGCCTTCTTTATTTTTTTTAACGTAATTTGAGATGGGCTACGTAAAAGGTATTTGCACATACCAAGGCAACTCTTTGGATTCCCCGTCCATAAACATCCGACAGTTCTGAAACATGGTTTTTTCCACACAGAGGATGGGAGAGGAGGAGGGGAGAGCTGGATGGGGAGGGTTCTGTGGGTTCATAAAATGGAGGTGGTCTGGTCTGATGGATTCCTCAAGCAAACGTGTCCGGTGGCAGTTTTATTTTCACCTAAATAACATTTGGGTGGGAGGAATCGGATCCACCGCAAGGCTTCTTTTTAAACAATTTTTCCCCGTTGTTGTAGCCGTTAACTTTTTAAGTGTCATGAGGGACTGGTTGTCTTGCATACTGGGCTGCGGAGCAACCCAGGCCTGCAAGATGGCATTGACAGTGGGCTTGTTGGTGTGCCATTTCTCCTTGTCCAAAGCCATCTGCACACGTGCAGGCTGAGGTGGGTAAAAGTATTTTCATTCTGAAATACATACAAAACAAACAAAGCAATGGAACAGAAGAGGCTTCTACTGAGCTTGATGCTGACTCAGCCATAGCATCCCCAGGTTCAGTGCTCAGGTATCTGTGGTTTTTAATGCATGCAAATTAATTAGAGCCAAGAGAGATGAAAAAGCTAAAATACAAGGGGCAAACATCTCTGACATACAGCAACATATGTGGCTGACTGAGTACAGGGTTAGGGTTTCTCTGTCAGATCAAAGAAACAAATCTTTCTTAATATGCTGTTGATCCAGTTATGTCAAGCACTCACCTCGCTCTCAGGCATTTTACATCTAATGATGGGTTGGACAGTGGGACCCCACATTCTCCTAGGAAGAAATTGCCCCTGTCATCGCTGCCAGCTATTTGATTTTGCAAGGACACTGGACGGATGTTCCTAAAATAGCAGTCCAACAACTGCAGAGAAAAAAAGGAATCAATGTTAAATATCTCATAAAATCAATTCACAAGGTACCTATAGAGTAAGAAGAGAGTCGCTGCTGAGAATGAATGACTTACTTGTTCTTCCTGGCTGGTTATCCTCAAGTTACCACTGAATGCTGTGGAACTCAGCTCAACACCATCAGCTACTGCTTTCCGCGCCATCCAGTCCTCTACCTGTGTATGTAAAAAAAAAGGTGTTGGAGCTTAAAGAAATACAGACTTACATCAGCTGTCATTTCACTTATCGTGCACTTTGGTTGTTGGTGGCGCACTTACACAAAGTTCTTGAACAGCATTTCCTGTCAGTCCATGTTGTAAAATCAGGATGGCCTCGCAGTACTGTCTGAAGGTAGTCATTGCATATGTGGGGATGCAATCACCGCCTGAAAGTCTTGTGTGGAAATATTCAATATCCTTCTTGGCCACGGCAAGAATTTCCTTCTTATCAGACCTATTGCAAATGTGACAGAGGTAAGACATTATTGAAAGTTTGTATGTGTCATCCAATATGTGGAAGTGGCAATAAGGTCATCATACCTCGCTGTTGGCACAACTGTCGAAAACGCTTGGGGACTGTTCGTGATGATAAATCCACGTGTTTGAAGGCGAGTGCAGAGTTTAATGCAAGATTCTTCATCCTTGCAGTACTCCTGGAGCTCTGAGAAGTTCCAGACTCTACCTTCATTAGAAAACAGCTTCTGTGAAGCAATGGCTCTGGAAGCTTCTTCCTCACATTCCTGTGGTGTGCAGTCTTTCAGGCACACTCTGCTCAGGTGTGTGTGAATGGACTGTTGGGGCTTTTTACAAAGCAGTCAATAGACAACATTTCTCTCCATCTTGTTTGCACTGTAAATATAAAGAGTGAGAGGCAGAGAGTGAGAGAGAAAAACTCTGCATATCAATCTAGTTTATTTTGACAGTATGAAAAAACAAACAAAGAACAACAACAATACATCCACACACAAACTTTGCTTCCACCCCACCCCCCCAAAAAAACTTAAAGAAAAAAAAGTTTTAAAACAAGTTTTAAAGTTTAAAAATGAGGAGAATGGCACATGCAAGTTTTACATGTTCAACCTGTCACGGCTGCCGAGGCGAGCCGTGTGGATTTAGAAGGAGGACCCAAGATGCAGGCAGTGGATGAGATACCGGTGGTTTTATTTACAGAGGTGTAGAAGCAAACAAACAGTGGGGCATAACAAACAACTAAAGACACCTAAACTGGGAGAACTAAAATAACAGACCTGGGAGCATATGACAACGGATGATGAATAGCAGAGAGACGCAGACGAGGAACAGGACTCCGTGGAACACAGGGTAACAGACTGACACGGAGGAACACAGACGAACCGGCAACAGGCAGGAGAACACACAGGGCTTAAATACACACACCAGTAATCAGGGGTTGAGAGACAGGAGGGCAACACAGCTGGGAGGAATCTGGGCTGACGGGACAGGGGAAACGTAAACTGATCACACTCACATACGACGCGGACCTTCACAATAAAACAGGAAACTTGCATTAAAATATTCATTAAAATACCTCATTTGTAGATACCATCATTTTGTAGACCGCGGCTGAATACCCGCTAACTAGCTTTAGCATCCAGCTTCACCACGAGACAAAGAAATCACCCAAACACGCATAAATTCCAATCCAGGCAGAGAGACATACGCATAAATAAATCACTTTCAAACCGGGAGACGCTTAATATCCACTAAATAGCTTTAGGTGCCGAACATGACCACGACAGACAAAGAATCACCCAGTCACATGAAAATAATCGCGATCGCCAAGATACACATACAAAGAAAAAAAATCACTTCGCTTCTTACAAGTTTTAATTACAAACGATACCTCTGGAATAAAGTGACGTCCAAGTGCTAACCACACCATCATTTTGTAGATACCTCATTTGTAGATACCATCATTTTGTAGACCTCGGCTGAATACCCGCTAACTAGCGTTAGCATCTGCCGAACATGACCACGACAAAGAATCACCCAGACACATTAAAAAATCACTTTCAAAGCTAAATTTTAAACCGGAGAGAGAGAGATACACTTACCTTGTCAAACCTTACACTGTTGTTCCGAATACTTCAGAAAATGATGTTCAAATCTCAATTTCAAAACGTAGGAGAGGTGGACAGATGCATGCGGGTCCAGCATACGCTACGGTGTCTTCTAAGGTCAATTTCAAACTGGAGGAGGGGCGGACTGACGCGCGCCGTTGATAGTGTCATCATTACGTTAATCCGAATAGGCCGCACCACTCCCGGCATACCACTAGAATAAAGGAATTATCGGCCCATATTAACGAAAAATAAGTCCAGTGTGAAACAGTCGCTTGGCGAGCGATCGGGTGGTTTAGCGAGTGTCAGCCTCTTAAGTTTAAGACAAGCCCGGCTGCTTTTTAAGCGACGCGGCGCTAGCTACCCAGCTAGCGTCAGTACACAGGAACTACTTCCGGTAGTTATACAAAATAAAAGCGTCCCCCATTATAATCCGCTATAATGCTCTTATTGTGAAGGGCAAGCGGGACGCCATACTTCCGCTGCAAAATGTATTCTAAACGCTTTTAGGTTGTTTTTTTAACTCACTTTATGTGTCTTCCACAATGTTATTTCTCTTTCCTACAGTGTCTGTTACAAATGCTTAGGCAGGACCAATTAAGTAAATTATGGGATTAGTTATCTCGCGACTTCTTGGACAGCCAATAGCGATCGTCCTTACGTAGGCGTTGACAAAACTGGGCGCGATTGGGAACTGCTTTCTACAAATCGTCAGAGGACAGGATGCCTTCGCTGACTCTTAGGGGAGTGACAGTGAATTTCCCCTTTTCTCCGTATGAATCTCAGAAGGCATACATGAACAAAGTAATCGAATGTCTTCAGGAGGTAAGAATCGACTGTCATGTGTATGTCTGTTGATGGAAATGGGGGCAATACCGAGTAGTCATGGCTGCTGGGCTTTGGAGTTGACACATTTCTTGCAAGTATCAGCTCGTCTCACAGCTGCTATCCAGGCTAGATGACTTCTTTTGGTAACATCTGATACACGAGCTCCCTCATGATGCTTCCAGGTGGGGAAATAATAAAAATAGAGCCGATTTTCCAGCTTATTCCCTTCCCGATCGTGCGATTTAACAACCAACAACACATTAAGTGCGAGCCATTGCTGATGCTTTCGCTCCTTCAGCCCTTTGTTTGGCCTGCTAAAATGGCACTTCGGCAGTCACACCCCCTCCCGTGACATCACGCTCCAAAGCCCCATGAAGCCACCATGCTTACCATTTGCCGAAAGACAAGCCGTCTGACGTCTGCTTGTCCAAAATGTAGCTTCACATAATATAATGATAATAATGGGGAAAAAAACATATGACAAAAGAGGCTTCATGTCATTGACCTGTCCTTAGAATTTCTTTACAGTTTCTATGTAATACAATAAATAGCACTCTGCTGACTTGTCTTGGGTTTACCCTGGCTCTTGACAGCTGACAAACAGCTCAAATACCCCCGATGTTTAATCAAGAACTGATTTAAAAATCTGCCTTTTCATGTGTATGAATGATTACAATGTTTTTCAATCATAAAATATTTGCTCTGGCAGTGAAAGCTTACTGAACCTGAACCATCCTTATGTTAGGCTCCCGAGACAGTTTTGCACTAAACATGTGGTTGTGTACTCTCTCTGATAGTTTTTTTCTACTTCTCACCACACTACACATCTGGCCAAAGGTCTGATCAGTTTATGCAATTGCAAGGTGTATATCCACATATCAGCCACAAGTCACAAGAATTTCTACTTCTACAGTGCTGGTCAGAGTTTGATCAAACTTGTACACAATTGTCACCTAATGGATCTTGACACACGCTGTGCTGTTTTATTTATTTATTTATTTTTCACCTTACCTTTTAACTGATCTGTGCAGATATCTGCCCTTTTATGAACCTGATCTGCTAGATATTTCTTTCTGCTAAAAGGGAGATCTTTCTCCACAATGCCAAATCTTTGCTCATAAAAGCGTAGTCTAATACCTGGAAGTCTCTAATATTTTAATGTTGTTACCATCACAATTTGTGTTTTTGGGTTTTCTCCGTTTGTTTTTTATTTTATTTTATTTGATGTATATCTTTACCTGTCTGGTTATTTCAGAAAGTCAATGGGGTTCTGGAGAGCCCAACAGGCACAGGTAAGACTTTGTGCCTGCTGTGTGCCACCCTGGCCTGGAGGGAGAACTTCAAGGACACCATGTCTACCTGTATGATGGCAGAGAGGCTGGGCCAGGAGATGTTTCCAAACACACCTATGTCTTCCTGGGGGACAGCTGACGGTGACAAACCATGTATGTTTGTATCATCTGCAAATCAAGAGTCATTTGTAATTTTACTTGTCAAAGAAGAATAACAGATACATATACAAAAACGCAAAGGATATAAGCTACGAAGACATGCTGTGTGCTTACATCGCTATGCAATAGAAAATGAGCTAGCACTGATTTCTTTATATTTTGATAAATGGTAAATTGACTGCTTCTTCTATAGTGCTTTTCTACTCTTTTTGAGCACTCAAACCACTTTATATTTTGTTAGGAAAATAGGATTTAACGATTCACTCAAACATGTAATGTTTCCAAACATACATGGAAATATTCTACATATTTCAAGACAGCATTTGTACTACTCTAACAAGGTTGTAAGTCAATATTTGGTAGGATGTCCTTCTTCCATTCCCTGTCAAGATGGGTTGTCATCCCCATGTTTCAGCTATGCATTCAAATCGTACAAAGAATGGTTGAGATGTAGGAGGCTGCTCAGCTTGGTGTTCAGGGGCTCCATGAGGTGGTAGCACAGCTAATAGCTGTGGCAGGTGCTCAGTCTCTCGCTTTGGGAAAACAGCTGTTGTAGAAATGTCAATCTGGACAGAAGGCTGATATAGAAGTTTAGAATATACATCATGTTGCAACTTTTGCATATTTATTGCTCAGCTGTTTAATCTGTTCAAACTGTATTGTCTGTGTTCTTTTGGATCATTGCATAAATTCTCAAATTTCTTCAAAGACAGATTTGCGCATATACACTGTTAGTAAATGAGGCCCAATATCCCAGAAGTTTGACTTGATGGTATACTATGTTAAAAAGTGTTCAGTTAATTTTTTTCAGCAACGTATAAAGCCCTAATTGTCTTTTCTTATTGTTGTCAAGCCTACTACACTGATGTCCCCAAGATCATATATGCAACGAGGACACATTCTCAGCTTACACAGGTTATTAATGAGTTAAAGAACACTTCATACAGGTAAGCATTTCTAACTTTTTGATCATGCATGATTGTCTGAATGACAGCTATTCACAATATAAAACAACATTTCTAATAGGTTTTGTGATCATGGTGTAATGAGGACACCAAACCCCTACTGTTAGTATATACTAGGGAGATACAAATTTTAATTACCAGGTTTACAGTATACATTTTAGTATAGCTGAATTTGATCCTGGAATGGTACAATAGCTACCGTTTTTATTTTGTTTTGTTGTGTAATGAGTTCAGTTTCACAAAAAAACACTCAGGCCTGATAACTGAAACCTAATAACAGAATGTATCTGACAAAGTTTAACAGGCTAAAAGATCTCAAAAAGCAACACACAAGTCCCAATTAACCAAATACTACTGGTGCTTTAAAGGGTTATTACATAAGCTATAATCATTTTGAAGTCTTACTGAGTGCAGCACCTTTTGTCTGTTCTGGTTTTTTTGGCTATTTGTGGTAAACCAGTTCTCCCATGTCTCTTTCGATTCAGCCCAAAGGTGTGTGTGATGGGCTCAAGAGAGCAGTTGTGTATTAACCAGGACGTCATGTGTCAGAAGAGCAACCACGTCAAAGTAAGTTATAAAGGCAATATTAGAGATATAAATATAATGGGATGTTTTAACTGCTATGTCTAATGAATTGTTTTAAACACAAAACAGTGAATTTCTTCAAGCTCACTGCTGAAAAAAAGGAGGAAAATCTACTTAAAGTTTGACTACATTCACAAAGAACAAAAATCAGTTGTGCCAACTGTATTCTATTGGACTTCCACTCGAAACAGTAACTTCATCCTTGTTCTGGTCAGCCGCCAACAGTAGCATTATAAAATCAGTTCTCCACCTGCTGCAGGTTCTGGTTGGTGTGGTGCCTTCAGTGTGCATTAGATCTCAGGAACACAAGCACTACTATCGCCCGCTCTAGTTCAAGACGGTGGAGCTTTATTATATCTGAGAGCAAGATGAATTCCTCATTTTTGTGGAAGCAGCTCAATGAAACCAACGGCCACCACACCAGCCCCTTTACATGAATTCCAAATCCTGCTCCTCACATACAAGGTCTTAAATAATCAGGCCCCATCTTATCTTAATGACCTTGTAGTACCATATCACCCTATTAGAGCACTTCGCTCTCGCTCTGCAGGCCTACTTGTTGTTCCTACAGTATTTAAAAGTAGAATGGGAGGCAGAGCCTTCAGTTTTCAGGCCCCTCTTCTGTGGAACCAGCTTCCAGTTTGGATTCAGGAGACGGAGACTATGATCATGCTTAAAACCTTCCTCTTTTCTAAAGCGTATAGTGAGGGCTGGATCAAGTGACCCTGAATCCTCCCTTAGTTATGCTGCAATAGGTGTCTACTGCTTCTACATTTTAAATATTTACAACATTACATCATGACAATTTTCTAATTTTGGTGGGCTCAGGCCATTTGCTAGTAGTTGTCTTTCTACTGCGTGCCAATAGTGCCTCTACCAACTTGTTATACTTGTTCAGTGTCAAACAGGGAAACCTATCCAGGGTAAATTTTCTCAGAGTTTAAAGTAGGCTACTCCTCCACATTCAAACGAGCCAGTTGAGGTGGTTTGGGCATCTTACAAGACCTCACCAGCATGTCAAAAAATAGTTATTACATCTGCAACAAGAGTGTCTCAACCGTGTTTTTCACGTAACAGTCACATGAAGATTCACCTTCCAAGGCCTCGCCCCGCAGGCCCTCTCAGTCCCAAAGGTCAGAGACGGGTCTCCTCTTCTCCAGTGATTTATGGTGCCTGGGTGTGCCAGTCTACATATAACTTGCAATACCTAACTGTGTGTGGAATAAAGCATAAAAGACATATGTGACGCTATCCTTTCTAATGTCTGTATGTGTACTATTAAAAATGAGCCAATGAGCTAGCTGGTGGAAAAAAAATGATAAGTAACGGGTTATGGGTAGATAGTTAGTGATTTTTGTCTTATTGTGGAATCAATTTTTTTGTTTTTCAGGTTCATATGTGCAGAGGAAAAGTTTCCACCAGGTCATGTGTCTACTACAAAAAACTTGAAGGTAATGGTCTAACAGAGTGACTATATCCGTGTAGCATAATAGTCTAGAAAAGCATGTAATTTACCTTTTTTGTTTGTGTTGTACAGACTACATATATCATTCAAATATTATATTATTCAACACTAATAACTTTCTATGTATCGCACAACCTTGGCCTCACGTACTACTGTGAGGAAGTTTGAAGTCCAGGAATGTCCAAAATGTGGATATTAATGAAATGTCTACTGCCTGCTTTTAGTGGCTGTAAAAATTTGAATGAAAATTGTTATGTTGAGAATGTGGTCCATGCATTTGTTACTTCGAGGATAGCAAATTATAATAACTTGTTATGACGCCGTTCTATAACTTATATAAAAATCCCCCATTTGATAGAAAACAGGAAACTTGACACGTGTCATTTTTATACATCTCTCTGTAAATTTTTATCTGCACATATGAATTTGGTTTCTTGTGTATAAAGGACTACTTGTGTTTATATCTGTCTTGCTATAAGAGCTGTGTAACCATCCCAAATTTCTAATTTCTGGGAATATAAAGGTTTAATCTATTCTATTCTATTCCATCAGTGATTTATAGCAATTTATCTTATAAATACTCAATCTTAAGCTTGATCTTCTTTTTTTCTTCTAGAAAAGAGCACTGATAGAGACTTTGTTAGTTCTATCCTTGATGTGGAGGATTTGGTCCAATTTGGCAACAAGCAGAGGTGTGTAATTGATGTGTTCTTTTTTTTTGTAAATTTCTGTTTCACTAATAAGTCTCTGTTCTGCACTTTCTTACTTTGGTAAGAAATAATCAGCATTGGCAGGTGGGTATGTCTCTGTGTGACACCAAAGTATTGTCTTAATAGTAGCTAATGAATCAAATAGTATTTTATTAATCAGTCACTTGATTAGTAGTATCCTCTTTACTTCAGTATAAGATGCTATTTAGCGCTGTCCAGCAAAACCCTTTAAAACTGTAGCCAGTGTGAAACCCCTGTAGGTAATCTATAGATGGGTCACAACTTAAAGTTAAGCTGAACTCTTGATTGGAACAGTGAGGTGACCCAATAAATATGTTACAAAATAGAGGCATTTCATTATAGTGGGTGGAGTGGGTTAAGTGACTTGCAAAATGAATGGGGCTTAACAGATATTTGGTGTTAACCGTTTAGGAATTGCAGCCATTTTTAATGCATCGTCCTCTATTTTTAGCAGTTTAAAAGTAGTTGGATAACTGACTGATAGACAGTTTCATGGCCAGGTAAGGACTGGTCTTTCATCATTTCATGACAAATTAAGCAGAAAAAAGATCTAGAGTTGATCAAAGTGTTGAATTTGTATTTTGTATCAGTTCACTAAAACTTTCAATACAAGGACCAAAGTCATATCAATACAATTGAAGGAGAAACATCATAATGCTGAAAAAACCCAAAGAAATCCATCAGAGGTCGAAAACAAAAATAAATAAGAGTGGTCAAATCAACAATCTAAAAGTACCTGGGTGTACCATAGCCGAAATAATAAAATGGCCACTGACACCTTATATAGGCTACTGATATCAGGACATACGGTGTCCTCACAGTTTATAGAGATCTTCACCCAAACTCCAGCACCCCAACCAATAGAAAGAGGCAAGGTGATTAGTGAGTTCAGGATGAAACCCTCAGCATCCATGAAGACACTAGCAAGATGGGCCACCCGAGATGAGCTGCTTGGGTGACTCAAATACATGATAAGGAATTGTCATGCACAATCCCTCTAGCACACGCACCATTGACATGGCAACTAGCAAAGGCTGGCTTAAAGGACAGCACAGAGGCTCTGATTGTGGCACCACAACAATAGGCCCTAAGCACCACTTCAATAAAGCCAGGAGTCAACCATAGCGCACAGGACCGAAACTGCAGAGTGTGCAATGGCTCCCCGGAGACTATCCAACACACAGTAGCAGGATGTAAGATGTTATATAGGCCTGGCTACACTTAGACCCAGCTATCAGGATGGGTCTGTTTTTGTTTGAAGTTCATGTATTTGATTTCGGATTTGCACATTTTTCCACAGAGTCTGTCCTTACTACCTCTCTCGTTCACTGAAACAAGAAGCAGATGTCATTTTTATGCCATACAACTACCTGCTAGATCCAAAGGTGAGCTCAGTCATCCATCCTCATTACATCTCAGGATGATATATGTGACCATAATTGAGCATTGAAAGAGACTTTAGTGTTATGATTGGCACTGTCATTTCCAATTTCCATGAATCCTAATATTCAACTGCCACTCTCTCGCTCTCTCCGTCTTTCCATTCCACAGAGCCGTAAGGCACTCAGTATCGACCTGAATGGAGCTGTGGTTATCTTTGACGAGGCTCACAATGTGGTATGGTTATATCTTTCCTTTGTTAAATGTATTCACTAAGTAAACTAAATTAAAGCTTCGAAGACCAGAAGTGACCCACTACTAAGGCTTTCAAATTCATTTTAACTTGTATGCCACATAGAGCCTAAATAAAGACCGCTGGGCTGCTCAAACCCTAAGCACATATTAAAACAAATGCTTCCAGATTTTCCTTTTGTTTTAGTGTAGAGAAATACAAGTACATGCACAAATTCACATTAATGAACTATCCTTTTGCAAGCCAGATATTGAACAGCATAGCTTCACAAAAAAATGCATTTTTTAATAAATCCCATGTCATTACTGTGCATTACAAGTGATTGATTACAGTAGATCTACAATTTCACAAAATGCTCAGTGTACAGTATTTAAACATGAACAAATATTTTCTTTTATTAATTAAAGAACCTAAAAAACATAAATTCAAACTCCTGTATGAAATGTACTCTTGGGCATACTAAAGTACTAATGTCATCATCATGCCATAATAGTTGAAGTGAAATGTATTAAAATTTCCAGTTACTTAAGCTTTACAAACAATTTGTAATAAATAAAACACAATGTGGTGCGATCACTATTATTTATAGGCTGATACATATTCCATTTTCAAACATGAAGAGAACGTTTGCAGACCTTTCAATTTGGGGTAGCAATGTTTATATTATATTATATTAGATAAAACTTTATTAATCCCTCCGGGAAATTTTACTTCTTTTATTTGCAGGAAAAGACATGTGAAGAATCAACATCATTTGATCTCACTCCCTACGATGTAGCCTCAGCCATTAATGCTGTGGACAGGCTGCTTGTGGAGCAGTCTAAAGAAATCAGCCACAGAGACTCTGTGAATGTAGACTTTCATGGAGAAACCTCCGCTTCTGGTAAGAAAACCTACTTGTCTCAATTTCTCAGGTTATATACATGTTTCTAAAAGAGTTTTCCATGGAATATAGTATAGTTATGTATAAATTTCATGGCATTTTGGGCTACTTGTATACTTGTATAAGTTTGGATTTACTTCTACCTTCTAAGTCTTCACTAACTTTATTAGCCTTAGTTTAGCCTTGGCCTTATTAAATTATTAATAGTAATAATTTTTTGTTGTTTTGTAAAGCAAGTAAAGGATTGTCAGCTGCACGTCTTTTAATATTTTCTTTTTTTGTTTTAGGTTTCAAATTAGGTTTGTCCACCATTGCAAAAATCAAACGTAAGTATTTATTAAAGTATTGCGGAGTCAGTCGTCCTGTTGGTTTGTGACAAGAGTTAATTTTCAAAACTTATTTTCTGCTTTAACAGAGATACTACTGGATCTGGAAGCTGCCATTGATGCCTATGATCCAAGTGATCAAGGCATTACCAAACCTGGAATGTAGGTGACAGCATGGTAGAACAAATAAAGTGTGGTCATAGAATGTCTCTGTAGTTAGTACCTTAACCGTAGTGCGGGTTCTCACTTAAAGCTGCTGAGAGAATGATTCTGAATCTTAACTGTTATAATAAACCTAATAAGCACTGCATGTCTCTATGTTGTGTCTTAGCTTCATCTATGAGGTGTTCGAAAAAGCTAATCTGACCTTCAGCAGCAAGACAGCAGTCTATGAAGCTCTGGAGCACATCATTGGATACCTGGCACAACGTAAGGCATCATATTTTGGCTTAGACACATTATCACATCATTTATCATTTGTAACATTGGCTGGTTTTATTATACCGATCAGTGCAACTAATTAACAAATGACCTGTTTGATGCATGTTTCTCCTCAGAGCCAGGAATATTTCTCAATACTAGTGGACTCCAGAAGCTTTCTGATATCATACAGGTACACTTTGTATGGCTATTAAAGAATTTGGTCAATATTAAACTTTTTTTGGGGGGGGGGATTTTTGTCTTTTTGAGTGAAAATTAATATGCATTGGTCCCATATTATTTGTGTGGCCTAACAGATTTGATTGAGGACAGTCAATAAAATTATAGAATTCATTACTCTTCGTTGTATAAAGAGTAGTTATTTAATCACCTTGTGGCATGTTTGAAGGTTCTCCTTTGTTTTGTTATTTCAGCTGGTATTTTGTGGTGAACCGTCAGAAAAGGAGAAACTACACCAGATGGAAACCAACACGGCTCATTTCAAGGTGTGTTCATTAAGTCAATGGAATTTTTTTTTTTTAAATTAAATTTTTTTTTGGGGGGGGGGATACAATTCGTGTTCATATTGGAACCAGCTAAAAGTAGCATATCTTTGCCACAACTATCACCATTGTTCCGGTATATTAAATTTAAAAAGAAATCTTGGAAATTAAATAACTAATTATGAGCTTCTGTCATTTGTTCGGCTCAGGTTCATATCCATCGGGACACCAGCATTCACTCAAAAAAACATAGTGTTGATATGTGGGCTTCAGGTTCATCAAAAAAGCAAGGTAACGGTGCACAACCTGATGCATTGTTGTGTTACATGGATCCACATTGACAGAATGAATTTTATTAATACCATTTATATATTTCCGCTAGAGTGTGAACCCTGTTAAAAGTTATAGTTTCAATCGTTATTAGTGTATGAAAGATTCGTACTACAGGTAAATGTGATGTGTTTCTCTGGAAATTGCAGGAAATATTCTGAGTTACTGGTGCTTCTCTCCGGCCTTCAGTATGCAAGATCTGGTGAATCAAGGCATTCGCTGCATCATTCTGACAAGTGGTACCCTATCGCCCCTGTCTTCTTTCACATCTGAGATGAGAATGTAAGTTAGCTGTCACTCTGACTGCCCTGCTGCACAATTACATTTTTCCCACACCAGCTTGAGTAGCAACTACTTTAAAATAAAAAAAAATAAAAAAAAACAATCACCTTTATACCTGTTTAGTCTGAACATTGAACAGAAGAATTAAACCCTTTCTACAGTGAACTGCTGTTTGATGTAGAAACTGTTCACTATCTCATAATTTAAATCTTCTGTTCATTATTTGATTTTTCTAGCAATTGAACGATGCTCAACATAAAAGTTAATGATTCATTTTATAGCCAGGAGAACTTGTTTGACATGGTCTATGAATAAATCAGAATGATTCTGACAATACACAGATCTATGTAATCCTCTAACAATTTGTTAGCATCCAAAGGCATTGTCATCTCTGCTATATACAGTGTAGTATATAGCGAGACAAGACGATGAGGCTCCAATTCCATGCAGTGCAAATGACTAACAATAAATATAAGAAGAGTAAGAAACAAATACACACTTTATGACTAAAGTAAAAGGATCAATAACAATTTAAATTTACAAGTTACAGTTGAAAGAGTTAAATTGACCTTGATGGTCAAAGGAGCTTGCAAAGGAAAGCGTCTGGACTTCTTTAAGTTGCTTGAAGACGTTTCACCTCTCATCCGAGAAGCTTCTTCAGTTCTAAGGTCAAATGGTGGAGAGTCCCAGATATAAACCTAGTGGGAGTTTCTCCCCACAGAGGGACAAAAGGACCCCCTGATGATCCTCTAGTCGCCTGAGCCAAGGTGGGAAACTGGGTGTGGGTCCCAAACAGCCAGAGTTTCGGGTGTGTTCATTGTGAAACCTGGCCCCACCTTATCATGCGAATTCCTGAGGTCAGATGGCCCAGGATGTGAGTGGGCGTTAAGGCGTCTGGGAAGGATCTCAAAACTGGATTATAGATGGCAGAGAGTTGGTGTCGTAAACCCCGCCTCTGTTCAAAGATGGTCGCTCACAGTGGACATAGATGGCTTCTTTCACTCCTCTTTCAAACCATCTGTCCTCTCTGTCCAAAATGTAAACATTGGCATCCTCGAAAGAGAATGCCAATTGACCTTGATGTTATTTAAAGTGACGAGTGTAGCAGCTTGTAAATATGGGCAGGATTCTTGAGAGTGGAGTTAGTCAGTATGACACATGCCGATGAATTTGCGGCATTTTATCTTTACATTTTCAAAAAATTCTGTCTAATACATCTAACATATATGGTTTTCTGTAAGTGTAATGCTTTTTGAAAATGTTGTAACCTCCAATTTTTCTGTCCTTCACTGAATAGAAATTCATCATGAAGTATCATATGAAGTAGCATTACTAGTAAACTTTTGTTTGCTGCATGGACAGCGGGGTAAACCTAAAACTTGATCACAGTGAGTTTCTGCTCCTCCTCTTACAGAGAATTCCCAGTATGTCTGGAGAACAGCCATGTGATTGAGCGCGACCAGATCTTTGTGGGCGTCATTGCACAAGGCCCAGATGGAGTGCCCTTAAGTTCAGCGTTTGATCGAAGGTCAGTATTCTTTTTTTAGCATATGATTACTTTCTAACAGGTCACTTTGGAAATTTGCAGTTGTTTGAAATGAAATATGTTTTGCCATATGCCTAAATACAAATTAAGGTGCATGGCAAAACTTATAATTTGCTCATTTATTTGCTAGTTTTTCTGACTTCTGGAGTCAATTATCGTTGTGTAACGATATTTTTTTCTCATGTTTTGATTTATTATAAAGTCAAGTTAAATCCTTTTATGTGTATGTAAGACTTTAGTTAATTTTTATATAATACTAATTCAAGAAAACAGTCTTTTCTATGCACTTTGTATTGCAAGATAAGTATTAGAAAGAACACCCCACCAATCATACTGTTTTATATTCTGCACTCCAGATGGATTGAGTGCGTTAAAATATTTTTCATGTTAATTGTGAGGACTGCCTTAACGCGTTTAAGCCTGTTAACGCCAGATTAACGTGTGAACGCTGACAGAACTAATATATACCTACATTGGTTCTGACTGTGAAGTTTTTACTTGATTGCTAAACTCAAACTTTAAATTTCTGTCACAGGTTTGTTCCTGAAAACATGGCATCTTTAGGCAACACTGTTGGTAAGATCACAATATACAGTATTGAAATTGTTTGGTTTTGCTGTTTCTAAGGAGATTTTTTTTTCTTACTGACATCAGCAACACTGTTAACTTAATGCTCTGATCTTCATGGTTATTTCATATTGCTTATTATCTTTTTCATTAAGTGATGACGTACCTGAACCCAGTTTCCGGGCCCAAACTACTCTGCATTTATTGAGGCTGTTGTGTTTTTAACACATTTTAAGGCTTTTATCTTGTTCTATTCAATCTGAACAAGCCCATTTTAAAAAAAAAAAAGTTAGCGTCCATCCTTCGGCTGTATGTTGTAATGTTTTTTTTTAGAAATCTCTCGATCAGAACATGGCGTACTATGTTTAGGTGGAAACTAGCAAGCTAACTCTCTGCTAACTTTTAACTCTGTTAAATTTCATAAATTCTATTTTCACAGATGCCTGGATTTTAAACTTAATTGTTACCTTGGTTTTGATTGTGATACAGTTTTGTAACCTGTGTTCTTTTCTCAGCCAACCTGAGTCGTCTGGTTCCTCATGGACTCTTAGTATTTTTCCCTTCCTTTCCTTCAATGGAAAAAACATTGGAATTCTGGAGGGTAAGTGTAATTCAGCAGAATCACCTGTGGAAAACCATAAGGGTTTGGTTTTTTTTTTTTTTTTTTTGTTTTTTAGCTTTTCTAGTCACTTTTATGTTTTGTGTTCTCTTTCTCCATGAATTATATTTTGTATTGTCTAGCAAATTAGAAATACATTTAATGGAAATTTAATATACAGACAACTCTGCTATTGTTTCCAGTGGATGATGGGCCATGCAGACGAGCTTTTGCAACAGTCGTATACGGATCGAATGGCCCGGAGCAATGGGCCAGACACCCTTCTCAAAGTCCACAAAACTTCTCAAAGTTTTGTGGACTTCTAACTATACCCTTACGTTCACGTGGTCTGTCCAGCATTCTCCCTGGTAACCCTGTCCCGGGTAGTAGGAACTGTTCCTTTGACGTTCTATTACCAGGGGCCTTTTAAATCGCTCTTTGTGTGGCCCCTCAACCAGGACCAGTTTGCCATGGGTGACCCTACCACGGGGCAAATAGCCCCCTCACAATTTAGCCTCTGGGATACCTGGGACATACAAACCCCTCCACAACGATAAGCTGGTGGGGCGGGGAGCCATCAGGGTGCGTAAGGGTACAGTGTGCATATTTTAAAAAATAGTAAAGATATCAAAATATAAATGTAATAATTAAAAGTAAAAAGCCTTTTAACCAGTATGAACTCATTTCTTTCTTTCTTTCTTTTTAAGTGAGGTACTCCACAGTCAATTTAATCATTTATAACAATCTAAGATGTTACTGTATAAAGTAATTTCCTGCGTGTGTATATGTGTTATCACCAGGCTACTGGACATGCAAACCGCATTGAGAAGTTAAAGCCCATGTTTGTTGAACCTACAGAGAAGGGCACCTTTAATGAAGTTAGTATTTATTTATATTTTAGGTGTCTTATCACTCGGCTGTGAACCCCTCTTTAAACATTTCACATCTGAAGAAATATCCTAAGCTTTTTATAGTTATAAAAATCTAAAGATTTGAAAGAAATTGAGCTTCTTTCTGTCTATTCCTAGGTCATTGATGGTTATTACACCAAAGTCAATGATCCCCGATCCAAAGGAGGAGCCTTCTTTGGTGTGTGTCGAGGGAAGGTGAGGAGGCTGTCCATGGACTCTGCAAAAGTCCTACAATGTTTTCTGTTGTCATGTTTCAGCTCCAACTTTTGCTGTATAGTGTGGGTATACAGTTGTGATCAGAAGTTTACATACAATCATCATGATCATGAATGTTCGTACAAATCATCCATCTGTACCATACTTGATAGTTGGTGCAGTGTTGTTAGGTGTTAAGCCCTCACTTTTACTCGTCCAAACACACCTTGTAATTGTGGACAACAACTCGATCATTGTTTTTCTCGGTCCAAAAAACTGTTCTCCAGAAATCATTTGGCTTA